CTCAATATAGTTTTGATACTGAGAATCACTGGACTGATTTCCTCTGTCCTTGTTGATTTCTTCTCTATTTTAAGGAGAAACTTTACAATATCGCTTTGGCCAGTAAAGAAAAAAACAAAAAAAGATAGAAGTTAGTTTACATGTGTCGAATAGATTATTTGGGAAGGACAATTCACGTTAAGCTAATATATTGGCAGCTGTAACATATATGTACACCTACTATTTCAAATTTTTCTTTGAATTAATGGGTTGATTCTCATATATAGTGCATGAACAGAAAACTGGTTTTCTTATTACTCAAGGGTTTAAGTATTATGCAACATGAGTGTAAAAAATATTTAACAATCAGATAATTGATAATTTGGTAAAAATTACTTATTGACCTAATATCACAAGTTAAACGATATTAATAGTGTAATACTATATAAGCTGCCCTTCTAAATTGTAATGCTCAAAAGAAAGGATAGTCAATTAAAATGGATTGAATCGCTATAAGTATTGTTTAGAGAAACCGTATTTATGATTAATTAAAGTACCGATATTCTTTCACTTTATAATACTCAAAAAGTTCATCCCACACTTTACACCTTTCCCCCCTATAAAAATTCCCAATATAAGCAACTGCCTCCAAAGGGAGACTTTTATTCATTCAACACCAATAAAACCAAAACGAGTTGGAAAAAAAAAAGGTAACGTACAAACACACACTATACTCTCAATCTAAAGATGTATGGCAACTACTACTTCCACCCTTTTCACTCAAGATCAATTCTTGAACTTCCACTACTCAAGAAGACTACTTGTAGCAGCAATTGGCTCCGTCGCCGGCGGCCGGAAACAGCCACGACACAACTGATTTACTACTAGTGAAGAACATGCCCATTGATGCAAATGTTGTGGTAGTCTTGTCAGTAATTGATTTGTTCACTTTTCTTGAACACCATTATAAAGTGTGCATTTCAGTGGTCTACCCTAATGTTTGCAAACTCATCCTCAAACCATAGGAACACTTATTCTACAGCAAAGCTAGCCAATAAAGGAATCAAGAAGAAAGCCCTCAAAACATTTCCAGTTATAACTTACATTTGGAACATCCAGGACTTGACTCTGAGTGTGTAATTTGCTTATCAGAATTTGGAGTTGGAGAGAAAATTAAGCTTCTGCCTAAGTGCAACCAGTGCTTCCATGTCCAGTGTATCGATAAATGGCTGCATTCCCACTCTTAGTGCCCTACCAGTAGGCATTGCCTTACTGAAACTTGTCAAAAAATTGTGATTAATGGAGACAGTTCTATTACTACAACTGCAATTACAAATTCTCAGGTAGTCAAGAAATCATAATTAGGATTGAACCACTCCAACGTGAAGATGTGGTATCTAGCAATTAAAACTAGGTATATAAGAATAGGAGTAGCTAGCTAGCATGACACATTGGTTTAAAGCTTAATTAGTTTTTTCTAGTTCACTTGAGATCTCTTTTTTTTTTTTTTTTTGGGAGGGGATTATGTTAGCTAGACTATGAGCCTGTTTGGATTAGCTGATTTGAAGTAGCTGATAAGCATTAGGTGCTGAAAAGCACTTTTAAGTGCTGAAACTGATCTAATAAATAAGCAGTTACGTGTTTGGGTACAAGTGCTGAAATTGATAATAAGATGCTGCAGTATTTAATAAAACTCTTTTTCTGTTAAAATGACTTAAATAACCTTCGAGCTGTTTACACTTATAAGGGCGTAATTTCTTCAAAATTTTAGATTCCAGATCGATTTAAATACAAAATATTCTATTTGTCATTTTATTTTAAATACAACCGTGCTTAGATAAGATAATTTTTATGATAAATATAATTTATTTTATGATAATCATATAATCATAAGTTATAATAATTAATAAATTGACAAAAGTTTCTCAGTAAAACATAAACCTAAATAGGACAAATTATTTGAAGAGAAACAAATATTGTCTTCATCACCACAACACTTAGAAAGCAATACACCAAAAATTTGATATGTCCTCATTTATTATATACAGTTCAAAGATTAATACACAATCACATAGATTATGTATGCAAAGGAATAGAGAATTTGCTTATCTCAAATAGTCAATGAGAATTGCATACTTGAAGAGG